AAATCAACTTTCCTTTTTTATATGAGCTGAAAAACAACTTTTAAGTCAGTTTGGGCTTTGCTGCTTTTTTCCCCCTCTTTTTTTAAAGCACATGTTTGCTCATATTTATTTGTTTTCTGAATATACATGTAAACTGGATTGTGTTCTAGCTGCCTGTCAGGATACATCTGTGTAAATTTAATGTCCCCAATTCCATTTTAAAATCAACTTTCCTTTTTTATATGAGCTGAAAAACAACTTTTAAGTCAGTTTGGGCTTTGCTGCTTTTTTCCCCCTCTTTTTTTAAAGCACATGTTTGCTCATATTTATTTGTTTTCTGAATATACATGTAAACTGGATTGTGTTCTAGCTGCCTGTCAGGATACATCTGTGTAAATTTAATGTAATGTCAGTGATGATAAAAATGTAGTATAAATATGGTGGTTAATTTAAATAATTTTCATCACATATACTTCTGTCATTATTGTGTCACATAATATGGTTTTGTGCTCTTGGGAAGAGCATGGGCAAAGGAGGATTAGCTTGGAAACTTTAATTAAGCTTTTTTTTATTTTCCTTGTGATAGTTAACAGGGTCAAATGAGACTTTTGTCAGCACAGGAGTGGAGATATTTATGTGTATGTATTAAAAAATGGAAATAATTTCAAATGGTTTTAAGTACTTGTCTATGCAGTTACCTAAAGATTAAAATAATGCTGTTTTCACTTGGAAAAATCACTTGCAGATTGACATACCTTTGAACTTGTGGTAGCAGAGAACTCAAATTTACTTCATGATGTATTTATTACTAGTGTTAATGGCAGAACAACTGTAAAAAATCCCCAATTTGTTTAGTGCAGATTATTTTTTGTTGTTCATTCTATGCACAGATCTAGGATTTTTGCAGCCCTTCAGCATGTTCTTAGACTACCAGATGTTTATGTAATATAAACCAAGGTTCAGACAAAGAGGATGTGATTACTATATTAGCTAAAAATGATCCTCACCTTTTATCCTTTCCTATTATTCTGGTAGTTACTTTTAGTACTAGTTTACTGCAAGATTTTTTAAAACTTTAGCTTAACATCTGTTAATTGTGATGTCAGATTTTCTAGGATTGTTTTTCCCTTGTTTCTTTCTACATCAGAAACTTGAAAGAGAGCAAAGCACATTGCAAGTTTATGAAAGTTGAATATATGGTGGTTTTGGGTTCACTCTACCTATGTAAAGAAAAGGAACATGCAGCCAGTCAGTCAATTCTAAGGTAGTTTCAATAACAACATAGCTAAAGAAAAGACTACTAGTTCAGCTCTGGAATGTGAGAAACTATTTTTGGTTTGTTTTAGACCCTCATTGTTACAAATTAATCAACTTCTCTTTAAAGTCTAGAATTCATTAACTTTTTAAGTTTTACTGTTCCCATGACTGAACTGAGCTTAAAATATTCAAGTTTGCTTCAGTTGCTCACCTTGATCCCCTTTCTGTCTGTGGCCCACAAGTATCCTCTTCTCTCCTATAGACACTACAAGGTGTAGTGACTTGAGATTTAAAATATTGCAGAAGATTTATATGTGGTATAAGTTTATACTTCAGCTCTCACCCTAAAAAAGTAATTTCAGCCAAACTTACACTTTCTGTGGGTAGAAAGAAGATCTGGGGCTGTTTTAACCAGGAGGATTGTGCTCACTGTGTTGGATACTTAGATCTGGGGCTGTTTTAACCACTGGAGGATTGTGCTCACTGTGTTGGATACCTGATTTAAATTTCAGTTCAGTCTGACTCCTCAAATGCCTCATAGTACCACAAAACTGCAAAAGATACATTTTAAGACAGGATGACTTGTTTACTTGGAGAACCATTCCAAGAGTTCAAATGAAGGGTGATGGTAAGCTGCATATTTGGGACATGATGTTGCAGACAGGACTGTAAGATGATTCTGTAGCTGGTGTTATGCAGGAAACAGAACTCAATTACCAGAATAGCCTTTTTGCCTTGTAAAATGTAAGTATCAAGTTTATGCAGGTCTGTGTGTGACATTTCTCACTGGCAGTGCAAGTTCCTGTCTCCTGTATGAGCACTCTGCATCACATGTGGGTTGAAATGTAGGTCTGAGAGGACTCTCACACCCTTGCAATGATGCAGCAATCTCTAATGCCCCAAAGTAGACATTATTGGGCAAATCCATCACAGACATGGAGAGAGAGATGTGACATGACTAACAAAATTCCTAGTTATCTCCTGGTATACTCCAAGTTATGCTTAAATGTGTAGGTGCTTGTAAACATACTATTGTCCATCGCAGACATGGAGAGAGAGATTTGACATGACTAACAAAATTCCTAGTTATCTCCTGGTATACTCCAAGTTATGCTTAAATGTGTAGGTGCTTGTAAACATACTATTTGCACATGGGCTGCAACAGTCCTGATTTAAGAGGAGAAAAAGGGAAAGTGAAAAAAGCACAGCAGTGCTTTGTGGTTTAACTAGGAAGTTTGTATTAAGTTTCTTGACTTTAGAATGAAGATTAATGATTGATACGTAATTTGATCTGTTTCCTCACCCGTGGAAGGAAGAATGGTGTTCAGATACAGTGTACTAAAACAATATATGTTCTATATTTTGTGGAATGGTTGAAGCTTTAGCCTCTGCAGAGCAGATTGAGATTTGCAACGAAAAGAAAAACTGAAATGAAAAAAAAATACTGAGTGAACAGCAGGGCCCATTTGAGGTGATTACAAAGGATGTTTCTTTATTCTGTCTTTTCTTGTGCAACCTGAAAACAGTAGCAGGGGGTTACAAGCAGAGTTCATCACGGAGTTGTCAATCACTGTCATTTAACATTTTGCAATGGGAGATGTCTTTATTCAAGGACAGCTGGGCAAATCAGGGAAACAGATTTGCAGTTAGTAGTCTGTCCAGCCTACACTAAGCAAACAAGGACAGGGCAGACATACCAGCCTCTCACATAAAAATATAATGGACTCTGCTGACCTCGGTGCCCTCCATTCAGCTTCATTCTCAGTTGTATAAAAGCTTCACTACCCATTCTCAATTTCCTTTAATTACCTACATGATGCAGATAAGAAAATGAACCTCACTTACTTACAGTCAATGATCACAAACAGGAAATTAAGTAGGCGAGTTGTTTAAAATAAGAGGAGAGTTTTGGAGGTAAATAAAACATGTGCTGGGGAAGAATTAGGGAAAACACATTTTCAGGGGTACCAATTGGTCTGGAGTGACTTGGCTGATCCTCCTTCTTTCTGCTACTTTAAACTGCAAAGCAAAACTAAGTCAAAAATCTCCTTGGTAAATATTCTTTAAAATATCTTTGAAGGAGAAGCCAGTTAAATAAAAAGAGTGAAGCAAACATGCAGCCTTCTATAGGGCTTAAAAAGATTGTGACCTTAGGTTCAGAGAATAAATGACCACAGTTTTCACAAGAGATCTAGCAGAGACATCCAGGATTAAGCAGCAGTTGTCTTTATTCAGTCTTCACTTCTAATCTGCAGTTCAGATATGAAATAAATTAATGCAATTCTGATTTTCTTTCCAAAACTTAAATTGTCTAATACTTACCATTCCTTTTACATTAATATCACAGTTTAGACGTAGTTTCCTGGTGCCATTAAAGAAAATATAACATTTTGTGCTGTCAGTTTTCAAGGGGGTGAAAAGCAGCTATTTAACTGTTTTTTGGGAAGTGTCAAAAAAGGTTCTGTGTGTTAGGGTATTAATGATTGGGTATGGTGCTTTGCAAGTCAATTAGGTTGTTCTATTAGGTGTTCTAAAATTGCCATTTTTCTTTACCTCACCCTGCATTGGTTACTGTTGTGAATGTTTCATTAGTCTGGATTTGCAGGAAGTCTGACTGGAGATTGAAGACTCAAATGCATAATATTGAATCTATAGTTTAAGAGGAACATAAAACCCTGAACACTTTAATTTAATGGTCTCTGCTAAGCCCGTAGTTTGCAAGGCATGGCCCTTTGGGCTACCCAAATGACTTTTTATTTTATGACAAAAGAAATACCTCTCTTAAATTACAGATGGAAAAGATATCACAGATTATAAAACTCTCGCTTTACTTGCAGGGTTTATACTTTAGAAAGATCATTCTCATTCCAAATGATACATGCACAAGAGGATTTTCTGGAGGGGGAAAAAAATTGCCAATTAAGTCACAAAACCAACTCTTCAGCCTAAATTATAGTTCATAGGATGCTTCTGTTGAGCTTGCTTTTCCCTAGCAGGAGAATTAACTCCTCAGGCTACCAGAAGAGTCCTGCTTGTTCCTCTCAGCCCCAAGGATGTTGCTACTCATAACTACATTTGGATTACATGTTGGTGTGCAACTCCTTTGTGCAACAGTGAGAAAGTTCTTAGCCAGCTTTCATTTTGGCCTGAATGGCATTAGCCCCACCGTGGAGCACAGAGGATGGTTTTCAGCACCTACTTAGAATTTTGCTCTTTGCTTTGATTGCTGCTCATCTGTTGCTTAGACACTGACTGCTCAAAATATTGAAAACATAGTTGAAAAGAACCTTCCCAGAGCTATTTCAAACCTACTGTGTTTGGAGTACAAAGAGAAAAATGCAAACCCTGAGAACTGAAAATGTGAATTGTCAACTTCTTTATAGCTAACCTTACAATGTTTTTGTGAGCCAGCCAGGTAGATTATCTGTGGAAGGTTGTCTTCCTCTACTGAATCCATCCAGTGAATCTATTTATTTCATTGCTTTTATTTTCCTCTTCTCTAATGTTAAAATCAGCTACGTGGAAGAAAACGAAATCATAACCTATAATTGTGTGAATATTTGTGAATTTTATATCAGCTATTGTTTTCCCACATGTGGTTTGATTAGTAAGTGTACTTTCTAAACAGTGAAATGCTGCTATTTTAACAACAAAATCTAACTGTAGTAAATTAAATGCATATACTTTTAATGTCTCAGCAAGGAATAATAGTTGTACAAAAGTCAATTACAGTGATTAATAATTTATTTTTATTTTTTTTAAAGAATGCTGATGAGTACACAGATCTGCCTGTGAGACACAATGAAGATCAGATGAACAGTGAACTGGCCAAACACCTTCCCATTGAAGTCAATCCCCATTCCTTCGACAGCTCACACACAAAAACTCACCTCCTGCTGCAAGCTCACTTCAGTCACGCCATGCTGCCTTGTCCAGATTATGCAACTGACACAAAGACAGTGCTGGACCAAGCAATTAGAATATGCCAGGTATTGTGGTGCATTTCAGTATGCAACTCTTGTTCGTTTGTTCTTTATTGTTAGAGTGGTGTAATATTTTGAATACAGAAAAACCTGAAGATTTCTTGCAGTTTTGTGGAGAACTGGTGTCACATGGTGTGATGACAGTGCTGGAGCAGGTCCAGAGAAGAGCAGCGAGGCTGGTGAAAGGACTGGAGCACAAGTGCCATGAGGAGAGGCTGAGGGAGCTGGGGGTGTTCAGCCTGGAGAAGAGGAGGCTCAGGGGAGACCTTCTCACCCTCTGCAACTCCCTGACAGGAGGTTGGAGTCAGGTGGGGGTTGGTCTCTTCTCCCAGGCAACCAGCAGCAGGACAAGAGGGCACAGACTCAAGCTCTGCCAGGGGAGGGTTAGGTTGAATATTAGGGAGAGATTTTTTATCAGGCATTGGAATGTGCTGCCCAGGGAGGTGGTGGATTCACCATCCCTGGAGGTTTTCAAGCTGAGACTGGATGTGGCACTTAGTGCCATGGTCTAGTAAGCACGGTAGGGTTGGACTTGATGATCTTTGAGGTCTCTTCCAACCGAGTTGATTCTGTGATTCTATGAACTAGATGTCCATAAAGGTGCCCACTTTGCAGAACTGGAGTTAAACAAACTTAGGGTAAAAGGTGGTGGTACTCTGGCTGGAGGAATCCGTTGCCATAGGTTCACCTCTGCTTTCATATGCAACAGCTTTCTATCTCTGTATCATGGAATGTTGTATGTGAGTCATTCCTGCATGGATGTGCTCCCTGCAGATTGTTTCTGACCCCCAAGAACCTGTGTCCCCTGGGTACTTTTATTTTTATAGCATCCAAAAGCACTATTGTCACTGCAAGGCATAAATAAAACATGTTTTAAATGTGATTTGGTATGAGATACAGGGGGTTTCTCTAGCTTGTGTAAAGGTATGTCTTCTGTGCCCCGATTAGAGTCAAAGAATATGCTTTCAAACACTGATTTTAAACTCAGTCTGGAGGCTTGTGACTTTTTACAGTTGCACTGCAGTCGAAACCCACAGAAACTAATCTGACCAGGGAGAGTACTGGTAACAAGTGATCACATGCACAGCTGCATGCCTCAAAAGAATTTTAAAGCAGTGATTTGAGTTCAGAATGGAGTGCTGCCATGTCTGAAAAGCTCAGTTACAATTACAGCAGGAAAGGTGAGCTCCTGTTAATGCAGACAAACAACCCTCTCTGATTCTGCTGGAAAGAAATATTATTCTCTTTAGTAGAACTAGACAAGGACTTGTTCACAGGCTCTCGAAGATCAGGCACCCTTCAACAAATTAGTCTTTTTATCTTTCTCCATTCAATATCTATAGAAAAGGGCCAGTTATTCTTTTTTCTTACAGTTTTTGTTTGCTCAAATTTTAATATCCTCATTGATCTACTAAACAACTGTCAGACTGAGGCTTTGCTCTTGTTTGAAGCCTGTTGGCAATATGGTAACTGCAAACATCATAGTGTCAGGCCTAGCAGTTTGTAAAACCACTCAATGAGAAACTATTAATCAATGCTCTGCTCTAGACAGACAAAACACCATGGGCTATTCAGTGTCCAGTGGTTTGGATGAGGCTCAACCTCACACCAACAAAAACAAGCTTATGATACTAATATCAAGCAAAGCAAAACTGAAATTAGGGAAAGTAAGAATAACACCACAGATGTTACTTCTACACAGTCCTAAATTCGGCAACCAGCAATGCCTGAATGCAGCTAATTCAAATTGATAAAATCATGATGCTGAAAGCTTCAACGTAGGAACAGTTATTATTCAATACAATCAGTTATTAACAGAGAAAAATGTCACTTGCTCAGGTGAGAAAATTCATTTTTTTTCAAAGAAGTCACATACTTTAAGTTCATTTAGATGTTTGTGGAATTAGTGTTTGGAGGGTAATTACATATTTGGGGAAAATGTAAATTAAATATTATTTTCCACAATTATTTTGCTCAATATTTGTCCTGCTTTGCTAAGAAATGCATTTTCTTAATCCTGTTACTGTATCATAGGTACTTCAGAGACAATAATCACATAGAAGAAAAAACTCTGAAATATTCAGCAGTTCCTAAAGGACTGAACTAGAGTTCAGAAAAATGCCATTCCATACCCTGCCTTGGCACTCCAGCCTTCAGGAAACTACTGCATAAAGTTGCCTATATAGTCATCTTAAAATAAAAATTTTAAAAAAAAAAGAGAGAAAAGGTTCTTTTGAAAAAGAAAAATAAAAAATGCAGTCATCTTAAAATAAAATTTTAAAAAAAAAAAGAGAGAAAAGCTTCTTTTGAAAAAGAAAAATAAAAAATGTTCAAGCATTTTTGTATTTGAAGTTGGCACATGGTTTGCATCTCTTGGGAGAATATTGGTTCCATCTTATTAGTCACGCTTTCCAAACGGGGGTTAAAGTTCCCAGAATCTAAGCAATAGACAGGGTTACACTTTCAATACTGGTTGTTACCTTTTTCCTTAGCACTGACCTGCTGATGAACTCTGGGTCAACAGAGGTGGAAAAAAAGATGTTAGTTGTGAGAAAAGGAACTGAACCATAGAAGGATCCATTGATAAATATATTTAGTGGATGTTGTTCTCTGTGTGTGTGAACATGTGCTCATGCAGCACCCAACATAAAATTCAGCAGGGAGGCAGGAATTGGGTTTTGAGTTCTGTTGAACTGTTGTTTATTTACTTACAAAGTGCTTTAGTGTTGAGGTTGTGTAGCTAACCTTCAAATTGTGACCTGAACGTAAACTGTTAGTTTTGCTGATGGGTGTGTGAATGACTTTCCATATCAGCACTGCTTTTCTGTGACAAGAAAGCAAGATCTTTCAAAGAGCTTTTGCCAGTGGTTGTATCTCAGTATGTACAGCAGGACTTCATCCCAGGACCCCTGCAGAGTAGATTTGCCATCTCTAGTCATGATATGTAAGCAAGGCTCTTTTATCATAGGGTATTAAACTTCTCTTCCCATTTTCTCTGGTGTCTTTCACCTGAATCAGCCATGTCTCCCATGGTTCCTTTCCCATTATGTCATCCCTCTCATCCTTCCAACCTCTTCTGGGCCTTCTTCATTGCTAGTGACTTTAGGCTGAGTAGTGTTAGTGGTCAGAGAGAAAACTATGTTAGCAGAATTACACAGGTAAATGTAGCTGCAGGATTTTGGCTTTGTTAGAATTCTGTTGTTTATAGTTATGATGAAATACAGAAGTCATAAGCGTTGAAGAGAACGTGAGGAGTTATGGTGCTGGCTCAATAGAGGAATGTAATTGTTAATAAAGAAAGTGAAAAAATCTATTCTGTTACAGTTTTCCTATAGTTAGCATTTGTTAGATGTAGGTGGAGTTCATTATAGCAAGATAAATTTTAATATCTATATACCCAGGATGAAATGCAGAATCTTTGCCCTTTCACAGCAGAAATATGGGGAATAGCAATATATAACCTTCTGGAATGTGAATGCCTATCTGCTCCCACACCCATCTCTATAATGAATGGCCACTGAGGCATTGACTAGACCAAAGTTCTACATTGAAAACAAAACCTCAAGTCAAAATCTAGTTTGTTATCAGTGACAGGCACTGTAGATAAAGCACAGAAGGTTCCCATGGCTCAAAAAAACCTGCCACGAGTTCCTACATGACCTTGGCCAAGTAATTTAATTTTTGATTTGCCTCAGTTACCTTTAATACAATTACAATTGGCAACATATTCTCTTCAAGCCTAGCACTCTGTGTTACTTTTACTGAGAAAAGATAGAGGTGTCAGTAAGATGGTGCTGAGCACTCCAGTAGCTGCTCAAAATCAAACATTTGTCCACTTCTTGCAGGAGAATGAACATTAAATAATAAAAATTCTAATGAAATGATTTGTCTAATAGTTTTATAAAACATAATTATTACTGTAAAGGCAATATCCCACCTTTTTTTCTGTCTGATTTGAGATGATGTGAAACTAAATCTAATCTCGTTCTTTACTTCTTTTGTCAAGCCTTATATTTTGTGACTGTGTATTCAGCGATCAGTTCTCACTCTACTGTTCTAAGACTATTGCCTATATTTGCATTAATTGAAATGGATAATTGAGGCAGTAATACTGTCAGTCTTGGATTCAGCAGGGCAGTCTCTTCTCAGAAATAATGTGACAGTTGCTGGCTTTGCATTGGGATTGGCCACAAGCCTCCACTTGTGGTATAATCGTTGATAAAATATTTTAATATTGGCAGGAGTAGAACTGCCATGGAGCTCAGCCCTAACCTTTGAGAAGTGTTTACCTATGGATGTGTTAAACACATCTCAGTAGGGTAGCTGTGCACTGAGAGAAGATGGACATGAAGATAGATTCCAAACTGCAGAATAAAGACTGGTTTGCATGGGAAACATGCACATCCCTGAAACGAGGACCTTGTAACACCATCACTGGTGGCCTGTCCTTCCCCATCATGTTACTCCTCTGGAGAATTGAATTTTGGCAGGAAAGAAGAAACTCTTTGGGTTAAGCACTGCGTTTCCTTAGCTAGATGATGATGTGTGTAATGCTGCTTTACTCATTCTCCAATAGTTAAATAAGTTGGTTCTGGTCATTTAAATTGCAGCTTTTGCAGCAGTTCTGATGAGAATCCTCTTTGTGATGCATGTTCAGAGTTGTCAGACGTTGCACACATACACTGCCCAGTTCAGCTAAGATCTAGCTTATGTATGAAATACTTAACTGTACTAAACTGCAGACTCTTCTGGGGGATGGTGGGTGCTGCATCTACTGCTCCTCAAGCAAAAGGTACTTTCTAGGCATATCAGCAGAGCTGCAGAGGAGCCCATGCTGTCATTTTGGGATTCAGAGAGAGAATGTCTCTCACCTCTGCACTTTTTATCCTCTCCAAACCTCCTCAGTTCATAATAGCCACTAAAACTATTGATTTGGAGAGCCATATCCCTTGGATCATTCGTTTCCCTGCCTGTGAGGAAATGGAGAAGTTCTTAAAGACCCTCAG